TTGCCTCTGATACTTTGTGTATGCCGGATGCCTTTTCTCTTTGGGGGGCAATATGTAAATGGTGATCCCAAACACACACACACACACACACACACACACACAGAGAGAGAGAGAGAGAGAGAGAGAGAGAGAGAATATAGTAGGAAACATAAGGGAGTCAACCTATTGGTAGCATCACCAAGAAATATATGTTCCCCAACATACCAGCAAAGAAATCACACATCAGTATGATCTCTTTCAGCAGTGTAATGCCAGCATCCCAACCCTGATCCATAAACCATTCCTGAATGCCAGATATCATGCCAAATAAGCATCTTGTCCTATGGTAAAACTAATTGGCAACAAGGCTATGTCAGACGCTGTGTCCCCTAAATATACAAGGAACGTTGCCCTCTCTCTCTCCCTCTCGCTTTCTCTCTCTCTTCAGCCATAGGAATAGGCCTAAGAAGTGTCGCTTTGGACCACACTTCCCAGAAGTCTCTAGGCAGCTATGTCATACTCTACAGGGGGAAAAAAATCTGGACATGTTTCATCCAATTAGCCACCTGCATGGATTACAGATGCAACCACAACATGTTTCGACCACATATATTAGCTTAGGGACATGTTTGGGTGCAGCACCATGTTGAACGTACATTGTGTAGCAAGCCTGCATTTGTCGCTCTGCACAGCATGTGAAAGGTTACTGACTCTATTTCTCCAACCAGTGTTCTGCCTTGTGCAACAAAATAGCATGACTAGCTCTAGGTACTACGTATCTTGGCTTAAGGGGATGCAGGTGCCATTTACTGCTTTGTGTCAGACAATAAAATACCTTGGGCCAGCCCCATGGACCCGGGATCCTGAGGTTCAGGCTCACACTCAGCCATGAAACTAGAGTGAGTGACGGCTGGCTGGTCATTTTTTCCACAGACTAACCTATTTCATGGGGTGTTTTATGAGGACCATACAGAGGAGAGAGAATCACAAATGCTTCCATGAGTTTCTTGAGGAAGATGTGATGGGGGGTGTGTGAAACTGTAAGGAATCTTTTGGGATTTTGTTGTGTTCACTTTTACTGAGAGGGATTAAAGAGGGGGTGGAGTTTAACCTCTGCAAACCAGGAGTTTGGTCATGTGAAGAATTAATAATGTTTGCAATGATTTTGTAGATATTAAAAAGTAAGAAAAGAGGAAACAGGGAAATGCATGAAGATCCTTAAAAAAGAGATTTCTTTTAAAAAAAAAAACACCACTATAATACCAAAATGATTAGGACTAAAATATACAAGGATGCTCTTGTTAAGAGTTCTGTAGCCTATCATCTGCACCAGGACACTTAATTCAGCAGGAAAGGCAGCAAATTACTAGTGAGAAAATGTCAGAGACAGCACTGTAATCAAATGGAAACTATTAAATTTTTTTCCTGTTCTCCCCACATAATTTTGAAATGCATTATGAAAGAGATTAAAATCCCCAGCCCACCCACTTGAAAGCCAGGGATAGGGAATACATGAAAAGAGACGGGTGTGACACCCACTCTTCTGTTCCCATCCTCCGTGTATTCATGCATTTTTGACAGTTGTGTGTATCTACATGCCGACAGGAGAGGGAAAGCAAGGAAGGGAAACATGGTAGGGTGCATACAAAGATGTGTACAGCATGGGCAAAGTGGATAAGAAGAAGTTTTATACATAGCTAGAACCTGGGGTCAGGTGCTGAAGCTGAAGGATGAAAGATTCAGATTAGATAACAGCAAGGACGTCTTCACTCAGTACATTATTAAACCATGCAAATAGCTGCTGCAAGATGTGAGACGGGTGGTCACCAACTCTGATGATTTTTAAAAAGAGGTTAAATTTGATTCCACAGTGTTCTTCCTGTGAGTACAGCCTCCTGTGCAGTCATGGGCAAGGCTGCGCAGTCCCAGGGCGCCCCCAGAAGAAGGGAATTATAAACCAGTTCTGAGTATTTTCTGTCTGGAAAAAAACTGAAAAGGATCACCATAAGTCAGAATTGACTTGATGATGATGATGATGGCTTAAAGATCCCATATCGTTACAACTCCCCCCCCCAAAAAAAATGTGTAGAATTATGCCAGTGGTGTAAAGCATAAAATTCAGCTGTCTTTTAAAACAACAACAAAGAGACCCAGCACTCTCTGACCCTAAGCATTTCTTAGGTAATGCCGTAACATAGCATCGTCTGCATTTATACAACTGATGCACGTGTAAGCTCCATTCGAAAGCGTCCATGATCACAAAGAGTCAGGAAGAGGGACAGCAGGCACAATCCTGCTTGCATTTGTTCAGAATCACTGGATTTTGTCCATATGAGATTATTAAATTTAACCTTGTACATATGAATGTCCATAAGTGAAAGGAAATTTTTTAAAAAAACCCTAAATATCTGTTTGTTTCCTTGCCAAACTATGAGGCTCTGGGTGACTCAAATACTGAGAGAATATTGATAGGCTTAAATGAAGCTGCACATTTGGTCAGTGCTTTGAAGGGAAAAATCAGACCTCTGAGCAAAATGTGGCCAGATTGTTCCCAAATGCCCAGGTTCCCTGCTATGGCTGACAATTACATCCCTTTATGTAAGCAGGCAGGCCCTTTGAGAGCTCAGACAAGGCACAAGGCATTTCCATTGTAAAGCCCTCTCATTGCTTGTCACAGACAGACAGACAGATACCCTTAATTTCTGCAACAACTGTGAAGAACAAATGGTGATCTATGGACATAGCTTTCTATCTCAGGGAATCAGACCGGCCAGCTGAAATTCAAAGCAAACAAGTTTGAAGTGAAGTGGTCGCACATAACCAGTTGATTCCCAAATCCCAATTTCTACACCACCGACCATAGCCCACAAGCCTCACAGAGAGGTTTCTAGGAAGTGATCAGCAATATTGTGCAGATCACTTCCTAGAAATCCCTAAGAAGTGATCTGCACATCCCTAGATGGGAATCTTTTGTATATTAGATTCCCATTGCCTTGCCTTCTCCCCAAAGGATGTACAGGCTCTTGTAATAAGTATGCACAAAACACATTCAAAAGCCCTGCTGGATCATATTAAAAGTCTGATCTCATTGAGTTCAGTGGTTCCCACAGCAAGGAGCCACAATCCTCTCCCCTCCATGAAGCCTCACCATACTGCTTCTGAAGCAGGATGACTCACGACTTGCAGAAGTCCTGAACTGCCCTAGCCAGCATGGCCCTTGTAACGTTTCCACCTCTGATGTGACTTTTCCAAATCAACTTATCCCGTGCCTACTTATCTATAGTCATTGCTGGCTTTATCTGCCCTTGAATTTATGTACTATCCTACTTAGTTGAAGAGAATTTCCAAAGACTATAATCTCCATTATTGTATGTTGTTGTTTGCATGACTGAATTGATTACAAATATTCTACTAACTCCTCCACTGAAAACACAACCATGTTTCAGGTGACTCTAAAATAGCATAAGTACAGTATTGATATAGTCCGGCATACAACAGATTGGTATAGGTATACACAACTATCCTAGTACACCATAGAAGAAGCAAGATTTGGGCAGAGCTTGGAACAATGAAAAGACAGCCTTGATCACATACCAGAGTTATGCACTTTGGAGACACAGAATCAAAAGCTGACTACACGTAGGAACCAATTTTTGGCTTCCCTTTGGATTACCGCATCAGTCTAAATTTGGGAAATGAACCATTTTTTAAAAATTATTTGTCACCTCTGAAAACACCAGAATCTGTGGAACGAGACCAAGCCATGGCCCTTTCGTGCATTCATTTGCTCTGTGCATTGGGATAAAAATGCGGACGTAAGGACCAAAATAAGTTTTTCTCACCCATCTTTTATTTTTATAGGTGGCATTGTGAAACAAAGAGTTGTGGGACAGAGAGCCATAACTCTTTAAAATATATTGAAAGACGTTAGTCTTTAGGGCAGAGGAAGCAGCCATGGTTTGATGCTAAATGACACCACTGATACACTGAAAGGCTGACTACGAGGGTCATTAGAGGGCTGTTTAGCCCACTGTTTGGAGCACTGCAGGGCTGGGTTGGTGTGCTCTTAAAGATAGCTAGCAATCCGACAATGTCTTTGCTAGAGCACACCAACCTGCTCCCAGAGTGTTCCTACCTGCACCTTTCTGGCCCCTGTCAAAGAGCTTCTACTTTTCTGGGATAGACAGGATCGCTCCTGTTTGGATCAGTTCCAGCTTGTGTGCTTGCCAGAGGCCACGGGAAGTGAAAACAATTTTTTTTGCCTGTGTGTAGATTATCACTGATTTATTTAAAAACAAAATTAAAAAAAAACTTTTCTTTCCCTTTTCTTCAAGGGCTGGTTGAGAATCTGCCCACAGTCAAGTCCATGTTGGTGGCTTCAGCTGCAGATGGTTTCTCAACCAGGCCTTTAAGAGAAGGTAAAGAGACGAAAGTTTGAAAGAAAAAACTGATGCAGTGCATCAGCAATAGCTTATATACAGTTTTTAAAAAGCCACTTCCTCTGCCCTCTGCCAAATAGGGGAAGTGATTAATTTGCCACTATCCTGTGACTTATTCATGATATTGGGAGGAGCCATTTCCATGTGAACAGTCAAGCTTTGATTAGATTGTTGTAATTAAGCCCAACTGTTTTCAAACAGCCCACAGTAGGTTACACCCTGCTGTTAGTGTAGCCATTCCCTGAGTGGACATACTGTGGACATTAACAAGCAGTACCTTTTGAAGAGTTTACACAGGAGCATTTCCCAGCTTTTTATCTGAATCTGGGACTTTCTACATGTATAGGATATGCTCCACCACTGAGCTCTTTCACAATTTCAGCAATGACAGAAAGCAGCTCAAATTGAATTCGGATTGAAAGAGATACCTGATATCTGAAATGGAACACCATTGTTGTCACTATATTACATCAATTAGAGTTATTCCAGATAAATTATCATGATTATTAAAAATGATACAACAATAATTTATTTAATAAACATCATGTAAATTGCTTTATTTGACCTTATGTTCACAAAATATTTTTATTATATGTATGAAAGCAGCTTACAGGCAATAGAATTATGAAAACATTCACAATACATAACACAGACCTGATTCAGGATGTATATTTGCATTAGGCTTCTAATTTATCTCAACCAAGCCTCCCTTGCCAAAAACATCCCTTGATAAATGTTTCATTTCTTTCAAAAAACAATTTTTTAAAAACTAATGTCCCCTTTTCAAAAATCCAAAATAATTATCCTGGAATGTATTTGTAAATTAATGCTGGTGACTGTTGATAATAGCAACTTTTGTGTTTTTATTTTACATTACTATGGGAATGTAGTAGGAATTCGGAATTTAAGGTAGTAAAAAAATAAATCTTAACTTGGGGAGCTTATGGGATAGAGCTTGGAAAAGTTACTTTTTGGAGTGGCTGTGGAATTCTGGATTATGTAGTTCAAAACATTAAGTTTCTAAAGGTTTTGCTGCTCCATTTACTGCTTGAGAATCCAGTGTAAGAATTAGGCACTATTTTCCATGCGGTGGGCAGCAAACAAACAAATGAATAAGAAAAAGAAAAAGAAAACCAAATTGCACAATAGGATTTCAGACAGTTCATACACCAATATTTATTTTTGCAGTTTACTCATTTTGCAAGAACTCAGGAACCCTGCTGGTTCCAGTTGGGAATCCACAGTACAGCATCCTCTTTCCTGTCCTGGCAAACAGATGCCACAATCAGGGCAAAAGGACATGAGCCCTTCTCCATGGCTGATCTCCAGTACCTAGTACTTGGAGGTATACTGCCTCCGAAAACGGAGGCGCTATTTAACTACCAAGGATAATATCTGTCAATAGATCTAGACTACATTTCTTAGAAGGTACAGGGGTGGAAGCCCCTACTCCAGCAGAAAACAGTGGCCAAATTCTGAAGTAAGAAATGTTTAAGAAGAGCAGGTTTACCTCAGAAAATGGCAATTAACTGTCAGTTAACTGAGAATGGTTGACATCTTAGATCAATTTTTCTTCAAAAATGTATTCATGAATTAGGTATACTATGTACAGTTTCACATGCTGACATTCAAGCAAAGTCAACATAACAGGAAACTTCAGAATCAGTCACAGCAATTTGTTTCATTCCTATATGGGTACAACCTTTATAACTCATCATTCAGTCAGCTCTGTTCCTCTGTTGGGGAAAGGAGAGAATCCATAAAACACCTCCCGTTTGTCATGCAGCATTGTTGATTCACCATTTTATATGTACTTGTTTACTATTTATTTTTGCTATGCTTTGAACAACTACACACTTGGTGGTTATCCAAGCAAAGCTGAATTGGGAAAGGGTCATCTTCTTTTTTAAAAAAATAAAGTGCTGACTAGTAAACGAGTCAAAAATGCAGTGAATGAGACCTCAGAAAATTATTTAAAACATACATTAAAATAAGTTAAATAAAGCTAAATTTGTTGAAACGTATTTTAAAAATAGCTATTTAAATAATAAATAAATAAAGCCAATATCAACACGTTATCTTCCTGCTATGGAAAATATTCCATTCTTGTTATAAGGCTCTGTTGATGTTCAGAAATCATTTATAAAGGCATCCACCTAACCTTAGCAACTCACCAAACTTTACTCGCAACCTATAAACAATCATGAACAACTATGCAAGTCAAACAGGAACTTCATATTTAGGTTAATACATTTTATTCATATAGTAAGGTTTCCTTGGCCCACCCCACCTCTGCAAACATTTATCAAGTCTGATTTTCAGCTTTGTCTTTGCAATTTCCACAGTATCTACATCTTCCATTCATTTCTGTTCTGGATGAACAACAGAGACCAACTTCAAAACACAAAATTCTGTTTGGCTGGAATTTTTTGTTTTCAATTTTATGCTTTTCTGTCCAGCAACCGTTCACTGAGCTTGGTTTTTATGGGATGGCTTTGAATTGCGAAAGGGCACACTTTCTTGTTTCCCCCCCTCCCCCCTCACCAAACACCTTGAAAATCTTTCTTGTGGGATTACATTCCAATGGGCTAACTTTACACCTCAGGTTTTATGTTGACCATTTTGTGTGATAGGATTGATCTTTTCCAAAGAGACATCAGCCTCAAAATCCAAGATACCTGATAGGGCAGGAGATGTTTTCTCCAGGGTTTTAGCCAGTCCTCCTTCATCTTCTTTTTTCATCATGTCATCCTCTTCAGGGCATATAACGGAATGTGGGATGAGATAGACCAGATTGCACTCTTTAGGGCTAGACCCTCTGGGCTCCAGCTGACTGGAAAAGGCTACGCCCCCATTGTTATTGATACTCACTGTCTCTATGGCATTCATGGAAGCAGGACAGAGTCGGTAGCATCCCAAGAGGGTGGAGAATGCCTTGCGGAAATCTGCATTGAAGGCGTAAATGATGGGGTTGAGCGAAGAATTGGCCCATCCAAACCATATAAAAACATCAAAGGTGGTAGAACTAATACAAAATGGTTCTCCTCCCCCAGATGGGATGGCAGGCTCACAGAAGGGCACCATGCAGTTCAGTATGAAGAAGGGTAACCAGCAGCACACAAACACCCCCATGATCACAGACAAAGTCTTTAAGACTTTGGTTTCTCTCTTGAAGGACATTTTGAATGAACTTTCAGGTTGTTGACAATCCAGGCTGTTTCTGTTACCAGCAGGAGTTTGGCAGTTCTTCGCATGCACTGCTGCCCGTTCCAAGGCTGAAATGCGTCGGATCTGTTTTTGAGCAATCCTGTATATTCTTGTATAGGTGACTATCATAATGGCCACTGGGATATAAAAGCTAATGAGAGAGGAAGAGATGGCATACATCCTGTTTAAGCTGGAATCACAGTTATCCATGGCTACACCCTGGAAGCTGGCATTGAGGTCTAAAAAGCTGGTGGTTTTAGCCTTGTGCCAGTTGAGTTGTACAGGGATGAAGGAAATCAACACAGATAAGGTCCATGCCACACTGATCATGATGAAGGCTGCCTTGGGGGTCATTTTCCTCTCGTACCTGAATGGGCTAGAGATGGCCCAGTATCTGTCCACACTAATGACACACAGATGTAAGATGGAGGCTGTGGAACACATGATGTCAAAAGCTACCCAGATATTACAGAATGATCCAAACGGCCAGAATCCAGCTATCTCAGAAACAGCTTTCCAGGGCATGACCAAGACCGCCACTAAAAGGTCTGAGACCGCCAGAGAAATCACAAAGAAGTTGGTCACCTTAGACCTCAGGTGGCGAAACCTGATGACGGCAGCACAGACCAGTGTGTTGCCCAAGAGAGTGGAAAGAATCAGCAAGGAGAGGAAGCAGCCGGTGAGGATTCGAAAGCAGGAATCCTTTTTCACATACAACCCTTTCCCGTCCATAGTGGTGTTGTTCCAAATCATCTTTCCTCCTGAGGCAGTCTCATATCAAGGGGCTTGTGGTGGTGACATCAGCTCATGTCCTTTCAGAGCTTACAAAAGAGACATCAGGTGTCCGTTAATTACTCAGCAGCAGCAAGGCAGAACACCCTAAGGCTAGTAGTACTAAAGTCTCTTCATTCTTAGGAGGGCTCCCATCCTCCTTAGGAATCTCATTAAGAAACATCGGGCAAGGATCTGAAACTGGCTGCCGCAGTCATGTTGCTGTAGTTGTCTCCAGCACTCCTTTCTGAATTTCAGCGTAAAATAGATTATGCTTTCAGGGACGGGACAGAGTCAAATCCTCAAAGTCCCTCAGCAGCCCGGGATGGGGGCGGGCGGGTACAATTGCTTTCCAGCTTAGATGTATGCTCACTTAAATAAGCTATTGATTCAGTTTATCCAGTGTCCATTTAACTAGCCCTTCAGCTCTACTGAAGCGTAACACATTAGGTGCTTCTGTTTCTGATTTAATTTTCCATCCCACTAATTGGTGGGACATTTTAATACCCTTCCAGCTTTTGTATTTTTCTACTAAGAAAATTAAAACATTTGGTTCTCTCTTTTACAGGGAGCCTCAGGGATCAACTCCTCAAACCATTCCACATTATTTTAGATTCATAGTCCTAGAAGCAAAGAAAAATATATTTACATTTTAAGATGCTAAGAGATAGAGATGGCAGAGATGACAGAAACAGATAGATAGACGATTGCAGTTTTTCGTAAAAAGAAATCTGTCCTACCTTTGGGACTTTTGATTCTCTAGTCTAGTCCAGGAAAGAACATTCTTCTCTCTGTTTAATTTAGGGTTTGAATTGCATAGCAAAGCCAGAAAAAAAGACACAACCAAAGCAGGTAAGCTGGACTGCATCAGGTATAATCTTCCAATAGCATGAAAGGGAGGCAGGCACATGGACTGGTAAGACCGAATTTTTCAGTAAAATCCAGCAGACCTAACTTTCGAGATCCTTTCTTCTCATTTCGTCTTCCGAGGACACAGGCAAGCTCCTTCACTTCCATCCACTCCGTATCGTTCATGTGCAAAGTCAGTGGGTCAAGGCAGTCCTGTCTAGATTTTCGTCACCCGTGTCACTTTTTGTACATCCTGCTGAAGTGGCCCATCAGGGATGAAATCATCCCAAGCAAAAATATGGCATTCCCCATTCTCTGGCAAAGATTTTAGAGATGCTTGGGCTGCGCCTTTTGGTCTTCTTTGGTGAAGGAAGGGTGGACGAAAAGAAGGAAGGAAAAGTCCTGAGTGCAGATGCCTTTGGCACTTGATGTTATTTCCCAGCCCAGTCGCTACTAAATAAAATGTAAGTTCATTACTATGTGAGCTTTGGTCCTTTGTGGTTGAGCGACTTTCCCATGTTTCTTTGAGAAGAATGCATCTTCTTCCAGCTATAGCTCATTATCGCTGCATCCCAGGGTTTAGGTCATAGTCACAATCCCTTTCGCTTAGAAGCGCTCAGGCACAAGAGGCTTTTCGGCTTCTCTGACTCTCTGCCCTTGGATTTACAACTCTAGTGATCTCAGGTGCTCTCTGTGTGTGTGTGTGTGTGTGTGTGTGTGTGTGTGTGTGTGTGTGTGTGTGTGTGTGTGTGTGTGTGTGTGTGTGTGTGTATCCTGTTGAGCCCAGGACCTTGACAACACAGTCTTCTTCTCACCTGGTGTGGAAAACAGCAGCATCGCCTTGCTAGGAAAGGTCTGTTTGTCCGCATTCCTTCCTAGGTCACAGAAGAACAAAACCCAAGAATGAGTGAAACTGACAAGCAGAAGCCCCTCAAACATCCTGCCCTTAAAAGTCCAAGAAGCTTCTCCAGTATAAAGCACAATTTTTTTCTTCTTCTTCTAAAAGAAATACAGTTTTCTATAGGAGTTGAATTAGCCTAATGTTCTGGTTTTCAGCATGCCATATTAATGTAAATTCCCCAGTGTTATACTGGCCTCGGTGAAGCACTTTGTCTTGTCGAAATAGTCCAGTTACCTTGATTCATCCCAACAGTAAATAGGCACACACAAGAAATAAGATATTTGGTAGTGGTCTTTAAGAGTGCATGCCAAACGTGCCGTGTGAAATGTAAGACCCAGGAGGCATTTAATCTGCAATGCTATTCAACATACAGATACGCTTCGTGCATCACTGTTTGTAACCAGATAGGTGTACAAAATAATACCCAGAATATGCCCACGCAAAGGAAGACAGGCATTTCAGTTGGGCTAGATCACCGTTTTTAAAAAGCACAGGGAAAAATACAATTGAAAAAGACATGTAATCAACACAGAGGAATCCCCCTGCCTAGCCCTGAACCCCAACACCCACAAACAAAACATTCATTTGCAATGACACCAAAGTATTGAGGTTAGTCTTTGCCCTCCGGCATGAACTTACCGAGATAGAGAAGTCATTTATTCCCCCAGTGTGGCTGTTGTGGGATGCTGATGTTACAGGCTCCCAGCTGAAAGAACGACACTCACCTCATCTTTTTGCTGCTGGTTTATTTCTGGTTCCTTTCTCCCTCCCACCCACCCCCCTCACTACACAGAACCACTTTCTCTCGCTGCCATTCACTGTGCTCAGGAACATCCAAGCGACACAGAGTTGTGTGTGGACTTAGCTCCCTCTCCTGGCAAAACCAGGGTTTACTTTCCCCATCTCAACAGATGGCATTATTTAATATCAAGTCCCGCTGTGTAATTGTGTGTGAGAGAGAGCGGGGGGGGGATGCATCTGTATCTCTGTGAAGCTTGAGATGGAGAGAAGGTTGAATAATTATGCTTCTAAATGGAGGGATCCCAGCCTTGCCATGAAGCCAATCTGGCTTTTCTTCCTGCACAGACTTTTAAAGATAAATTTAAAAGAGAGAAGGAAGAACTGCTGGGCAACACAGCAGGGCTACAAGCTGAGGGCTTCACTTTGCAACCCTGTGTAAAATGAAGCCGGGCAACTGCACAGCAAGCAGCCCGTCCACATTGGCATATAGTTAGGATATATGGTTCCCCGATAGCCCTGTCTGGCATGGAGAAAAGACCTTGTCCACTTGTATATCCACTTCAAATGATTGATCCTTCCTCTTTAAAAGCTGGCCCGTATCTGGCACAAGACTAGGGCACGCAATCTTTTTTAAACAAGTCGTTGAGATGTAAAATAGCTCTTTATTCAGCCTTCACAGATGGGTACTTGTGTTGAAATAGGTTGCACTGAAGATAAGGGCCTTTTAAGCACTGGCCAAATTGTACCAAATTTTTACAGTGTGGACAGGCCCTAAGAGAGGAAACAGAGGCCTACACTGCCCACCCCCAAAGATACAAATCCTCTCCTGAACCAAAAAAGGGGGGTGATTTTCAAGATAATCTTGCCCCCCTGTATTCATGGTTTCAAAGGAAAAGCACAACTGTGCCAGGTTCGGACACCTCTCTCCTTTTCTTGGGGCCTCTTTCTAAGGATGCCTTTGCTGGCCCAAGACTTGAAGATGCCATCCACAAAAAGCAAAACTCCAGGATCGCCTACAGTCGAACTGCTCACAGAGTGAGGGAGTTCATTTTCTCAGTTCACGCAAGGGGACAACCAGCGCCTCTGTTTACAATGGCAGCACTTAAATGGACAGGCTCCCTTACATGGACAATGCCAGTGGACCTTTCAGTTCCGCTGGTGCCGAACAGGATCCTGGTGCGTGAACCTAAATCCATTTTCTAGCCCTATACTAGTGATGACTGATTAGATTAATGGAATTTACTTAAGTAACTAATGTAGAATCTCACGGATGATAACTGTCAGGGGAACTATTTCTATGGACTTCAGTCCTTCCGGAAGATAAGTCAATTGTGCCTGGAATGACTTCTGTAATGTAAAGTCTGGCAGTGGGACAATGTAAATGGAGTCTCTGAGCTCTTGCAGTTGCAAAGAGGCTTAGAGCAGTTTCAGACAGAGGTTTTTACACATCAGCAGACCCTTTGGCATCTATTCCCTCTCCTCCTCCTTAACGGATTTTAAGCAGCAATGAAAAGAAGGGAAAAACCAGAGAAGAAACAAAGTTAGGTGAGGAGGTAACAGGTATGTCCTCTGAAATTTCATAAACATTAAGGAACAAGGCAGTGTGTAAATGTGAATGCACTCTTGTAAATGCACTCTTACTTCAAAGTTGGAGCAGTAAAAAAGTCATCATCACTCCATCATCTGAAGACCTCAATCATCAATCTACTTTTGAATGTATATCCTATAGTCCCACTTTACAGTTATATGTTTTTCCAGATGTATGGATTGCCCAAGTCAATCTATATGCCTAACTGATGATTGTTTGATCCCAACTGTTATTCGTTGTCATTTATTTTTATTACTATCAGTTATTTATACAGCATCATTAGTGTACACACGGTTCTGCTATATTACATCTGAATAATGCAAAAAATAGTAATAAAATGGGAAGAAGTAAACAGAAAAGTTTGAAAATGCTACTTTTGCTGTCTGCCGAATAACGCAATTGTTGCCAAATCAAAAAGAAAACACAAACATGCGTATTAGAAAGAGTCATTCTCTATTGCTCAGAAAAATTAGTCCCCTGGGCACAAACTGAATCACATCTCAGTCAAATGTCTACCTGTTGGACCATCTTTCCCTCAACTACAGCAGTTTTATTCCTTCCAGAATAATCATTCATGTCCACAAAATGCAGCTTTTTCTTGGAAAACTGCAGCTTAGGGGGCCTTTCAAAAGGAAGGGGTTTATAATGAGGCTAGTATTTTATTTTATTTTATTAAGTCATGTTTTAAGATGCAGTAAAAAAAAATGCAATTAGGAAAAACTGTGCAATTTGACAGCATTCCGATGGAGAAAGAGGGGAAAAAAGTCAGGCTATGCCATGCTGTTAATAAAGAATTTAAATGATGGGTTTGACTGTGTGGATCACAGCAAACTATGGCAAGTCCTTAAAGAAATGGGAGTGCCTGACCACCTTATCTGTCTCCTAAGAAACCTATATGTGGGACAGGAAGCAACAGTTAGAACTGGATATGGAACAACTGATTGGTTCAAAATTGGGAAAGGAGTACGACAAGGCTGTATATTGTCCCCTTGCTTATTTAACTTATATGCAGAATATATCATGTGAAAGGCTGGACTGGATGAATCCCAAACTGGAATTAAGATTGGCAGAAGAAATATCAACAACCTCCGATATGCAGATGATACCACTCTGATGGCAGAAAGTGAGGAGGAATTAAAGAACCTCTTAATGAGGGTGAAAGAGGAGAGTGCAAAAAACGGTCTGAAACTCAACATCAAAAAAAGAAACTAAGATCATGGCCACTGGTCCCATCACCTCCTGGGAAATAGAAGGGGAAGATATGGAGGCAGTGACAGATTTTACTTTCTTGGGCTCCATGATCACTGCAGATGGTGACAGCAGCCACGAAATTTAAAGACGCCTGCTTCTTGGGAGGAAAGTGATGACAAACCTTGGCAGCATCTTAAAAAGCAGAGACATCACCTCGACAACAAAAGTCTGCATAGTCAAAACTATGATTTTTTCCTGTAGTGATGTATGGAAGTGAGAGCTGGACCATAAAGAAAGCTGACCACCGAAGGATTGATGCTTTTGAATTGTGGTGCTGGAGGAGCCTCTTGAGAGTCCCCTGGACTGCAAAGAGAACAAACCTATCCATTCTAAAGGAAATTAACCCTGAGTGCTCACTTGAAGGACAGATCCTGAAGCTGAGGTTCCAATACTTTGACTATCTCATGAGAAGAGAAGACTCCCTGGAAAAGACTTTGATGTTGAGAAAGTGTGAAGGCAAGAGGAGAAGGGGACGACAGAGGATGAGATGGTTGGACAGTGTCATCGAAGCTACCAACATGAATTTGACCCAACTCCGGGAGGCAGTGGAAGACAGGAGGGCCTGGAGTGCTCTGGTCCATGGGGTCACTAAGAGTCGGGCATGACTAAACGACTAAACAACAACAACAACAACAAATGATGGGTTAATTTATATAAAGGACAGGAAGTGCTTGGGATAAATCAACCTACCCAAGCCACATCAAAACAACTATTTTTGGGGCAGAAATTCCTTTTCTTCACCTTCATCAGCACTGAAAGCCTGCAGGCTCTATTGCGGACCTTGTAACAGACACCAGAGCTACCAATCAGCCTAAAGATTGGTGTAGAGCTTTGGAGGAGGGAGAGTCAGGCAGGGCATTGGTGCCTTTTGAATACATGCTTGCAAATAAGAAACACAACTGAGGGAATGAAATGCAGAAAGTGGGGAGGTCTTTTCATATATATATGAAGCTTTAGTGACACTTGTTATGCCAACACAGGAGGCTTACTTTTAAATAATGATTTTCCTGGCCCTTCATAGTTTATGCAGAATAGTAATAAATAATTTGAATTATTTAAATAATTAAAAAAATATATATTCAAGATATATATATTCAAATATATATATATGTAAGATTCTGGAACACTTTGAAAAAAAAGAACAGTGATAATCCTTTGCTCTCTGCCATTCAAATTATTTATTACTATATTGCATAAACTATGAGGGGCCTGGAAAATCATTATT